CTTCATGATGCATCTCACGTAGTGGCTGATGGCCCAGAAACGCATCTCCGCCTCATTTGCATGCATGTCGGTCGTGTACATCTCGAACACACCGAGCTTCCTGAAGTCCCCATTCGAAACCCTGATGGCTACGATGCGCGCCCTCTGGAGGGAAACGTCCACAGTGGAGGGCGGGAGAAACGTGTCGATCACTGCCAGACGGTGCGAAGTCGCGTCCAGCGGGGCGATGCCATACTTAAGCACGAACGTTCTGGAAATGATATCTCTAAGGATCCGCTTGAAGTCGCTCTTGGCACCAGGAGTCTCGAACACCTTCGCCGCATGGCACTGAGCAACAAGCAACTTATTAAACACTACCCCGCAACTTCTCTCATGCACATGCTGGGCCATGTGTATCCTGCATTTCCGATGTGAACGGTTGGGCGCCTGAGACAAATTTCGTTCAGCTCTCGCAATAGCACCGTCGCCGTCGCTCATACATGTCCTGTCGTACCTCTGGAACAACGGAACCAACTCTGGAATGCCGTGCTCGTGCAAACGTGCGAGATGATGATATACTTCGCCAGTAGTGCGATCGATACTGCTCAGCGGCGTCGGCATGACAGACACGACATGCACGAAACGTCGCCGAGGCAGCGACACGCCGTCGGCACCATCATCGATCGCAGCAGGAAGTTCGAAGAGCGCGCCGACCTTCATCTCGCATGCAACAATCTTCCCCTTTGGCTCCACATCAGTCTCTACAAGTGGCTCCAACATGTTATCTGGCGCCGATCTGTTCTGGATGGCCTCTAGGATGCACTGGTCGGTAATCATCGTCTCATGTGACACTTTGTGATACATGGGCGTCTCGTCCATTGACGCGTGAAGCGACAGGCGCAAGCAGCGCCCACCACCAGACCGAACAGCTGCACACATGGTCCTGATGGCGTGCAATGTCCTCTGCCTCGAGATGTGGTACGCGCAGCACGCATGGAACCGAATTCTATTCATCGCTGTCTCGTGGTGCAAGCTCAGGTCGTCCGCCAAATGCTGAAGAGACCTCGACGCTTTGCTCACCATGAACACATCCACGAGCTCCAAAAACTTAGGCTCCGCAGCACCGTGCACACAATCCGCTCCAGAAGCAAAGGCGACTCCAAGCCGTCCTATGCCAACTCCGAGCTCCACCGATTGATCGCAGAGAAGCACCTGGCTATCTTCGATGAAGGTCTCCAATGCCGATGGGTCTGGGCAGGCCACGTCCAGTCGATGATGGACTGGGGCGATGGCGCTCTCAGCGGGCCGCGCGTCGTCGCTACTGTCCACGGCGACCAGCGCGGCCTCCTCAAGCCGATCCTGATCTCCTGCGCCTGCTGCTGAGGCGCTCTCGTCGAGAGCAGCTGCAAGGTCTGCCTCCAAGCTGCCTGCGATATCGTCGCTGCGACCCGCGGCCTCCAGGTCAGCGCCCAGGCTGCACGGGCCGCTGCCGAGAGCCTCCTCTAGCAGGTCGCTGAGCGACTGCATGCACAGGCAAAATGCCAGTATTCGTGCAATGAGCACGAATTGAGCCACAACGGTTTCGGGGGATAGGCGGCTGAACGGGGGGTGGACTGGGACGCTCTGCTTCTGAAATTGTTGGGACCGTCTTGGGGCAAGCCGCGGGATTGCGATGTGCCGACGCGTTGCCGATCTACGAAAACCAATGGGCCTCATAATATAGCACCAGTCGGATGCAACCCTGAGGAGCTTTAAATGAAACATTTCGCAATCCTCCCCCTCCCCTTCCTCGTCCTCCTCCTCCAGCCCCCCACCCCTTATTGTCTCCCATCCATGGGGCAATGGCTTGTCATATCTTTTGTTACTTGGTTTTCGTCCAGGGATGGCGGGCTGAGAACACGCTGCGCTGCAGAATACATATAGAGGGGCGGCGGGGGAAATGCGCAGAGGGAGGCGCGCATGCATGCGCCATCTTCCTTGGATCCGACAAATGACTAACCCAAACACGAAGGGAACCTTACGGCCCGTCAATTGCATTGGGGCCATGGTTGCGGCACGGTCTGAACGTCCGCCAGCGAGCACACATATCAATCGAGGCGTCCATTGTTCTACAAGTGTTCACTAAGACTCGAATGGAAATCTGCCATGCCCCCGCGGGGCCTCTCACCAGGTTTGAACGAATTTGTTAGCCCAAAACATACATGTTGCCGAAACTGGCTCGGGAGGCCCATGCGGCACGCGGGGTTTCTCTATTACATGTTTGTAAATACACCCGAGAGACCCCGAATATGATATGCATGTGCTTGTGATTTTTTTTTTTGCGGGGCGTGTGTCCTACAGTTGCCCAGAGAAGTTCCTATGCGGCGCTGTGGTGATCAGACTCCTACGTCTTCCGAAGAGGTAATCGGGGCGGCCCGAACGCGGACAGGACCGATGCTCCTGCACAGATCGGCCACCCCCAAGCGCAACTCATCGGCGCGACCCTATTTCACTCCGAGGGAAAAACCGCGATGCTTCGGAGACAAGCCGTTACACATGAGCCGCAAAATTCGACGGCACCAGAAACGTCCACTGGTTTCTATTTAAATACCTATTTAAAAACAATTTTACAAAATCATGCAAAACCTATTTTTGGCCTATTTAAAAACTATTTTGAGGTTTTCCTGAAAACAGCCATTCTCCGAGGCAGCGCGGTTACAAGGCAAGAAGAGCCGATCGTTCCTCTGCATAGCGACGAGCTCGGGGGTCACAATTGGACTGCCGACCGAAGTGGTTGGACGCGACCTCCTGCACCGTCTGGATCCAGTCTTCCCAGGCCTCATCAGGAGCTCTCGCATTCATCGGCCTTTCCATGAAGTCGGGCATGGACGAGAAACGGGATTCCAGCTCTTGCATGAAGGCCGACACTCCTTCGCCCCGGCGAAGGGCCTGGGCGAGCTCGTCGAAATCCCAGCTCGCCCCCTCAGGACGAGTGCCCGGCAAGTCGAAGTCGCACTTCGCCTTGAGCAGGATCGGGCTGCGGTCCTGGAGGCCAATCTTCCGAACAAGCTTGAGCCGCCCTCGACATTGTAGAACCTCTGCTGCTTGCCAACTAAACACCGCTACATAGTCGATCGAACTCGAGCTTACGTGGCCGAAGTGTGTGTCGCCCACGGGGTAGTCCATCGATACGACTCGCAGGGCATATCTCTCCAGAATCTCCTGAACCCGATCTCCAGCAAAACGTTGTTCTCCTCGTCCGAAACTGCCGTAGGCCCTAGACTGAATCTCTGTCAACGCACCGCCAGGCTGTCGTCGAATCCCCAGCGGGTCGTTGAGGTCGAATCCCCAGAAGACCCTAGCCCACGTGAAAGTTTTCTCCGACCAGGCACACATGCACGTCACCGTGTCTCGATATCGACGGAAGGGGGCATCATCAGCACATTCGCGGCCTTCTCTTCTTTGAGAAGGGCGGGGGCGAAAATATGTAATTGGTATAAGCAAGTCAAAACGCCCCGACCTGACACGGTGGAGCGCCACTCTGCCTTGCAATTGCCGCGGCACTGGGGGGGAATCCACAATATGCTTCAAACTGAACTTACGCTTGCGAAGTAAAAGAGTGATACCGCAGCTCATGTTGACATGCCGTCCAGGAACATAGCCGTGGCGGAGGGCAATGTGGTGCCGAAGATGAAAGACTGTACACATCTGATCACCTGCACGCTCGCCCGTCGACGTCGGAGCTATAATGCCGATATGTTTGAATTCGTCCGATATGTCGTGAAGCCGCAACTCATCGGCAGCGGCCATGCAGTTCCAATGAACATATGATACCATCGACTGCGGGCGCGCGCTGAGTTGGTTGTGGGGCCATCCAGCCCAGAGCGAAGTACGGTGTCTGGCTGTGCGGTAGCTCCTGCCCCAACATCTGGAAGGCCTGAGCCGGGGGGGCTCTTAGGAGGAAGAGGAGGAGGAGGAGGAGGAGGAGGAGGAGGAGGAGGAGGAGGAGGAGGAGGAGGAACAAAAACGAGCAGGCCAGCAGCTGTCCTGCGGACTCGGTCCGAGAAGCGTTACCAGGGGATGTCCACTCGGCTCAGCCAGGCCCTAGCCCTGAGGGAAAAGGTCGGAGGACGAGGACGATAGGGGGGCCCTGACCCTCAGGGGTGTGCCAACCCTTGGCGAAAGTTGCGAGGACCGGGGAGGGAGGGAGCAGGAGGTAGGCATGTGGGTACGGAGGGAGGAGGCAGGATGGCAGGAGAAAGGAGCAGGATGGAGGATGCTGCGAAGGCATGCGCAGTCCTCGGAGATCTCGGGAAGAACCCGAGCGTGCCAAAAAGTTCTCTGGGAGGAGGACCCCAGAAGATGCAGTCGTGAGTACCGCAGCTGTGAGCATGGCCTTCGGTGGATCTCCCCAGGGGGCCACGGAGCGCGTGAGGGGACACCGAAACACGTAGGGCGTATGGGGATAGGGGGCCCGCATGTGGACCGTGCCGTGGGGGCCCTCGGTGGAGCTCTCGATGGAACCACGAAGCGCTCACATGCCGAAACGGCCGTGGCGCCGAAACGGCCGACGGTTTCTCTATGGAGGGTGTACAGAAACGGCCGTCGCTCCCGCTGGGGCCTTCGGTGGAGCTCCCTGTGGAGCCACGCAGCGCGTGTCAGGGGTGTGCCGAAACGGCCGTGGCGCCCACGTGCAAAGGCTGCCTCTGGGGCCTGCGGTGGAGCTCCCTATGGGGCCACGCAGCGCGTAAGGGGTGCGCCGAACTGGGCACGCGGTGAGCAAGGGGCAGGGATGGGAGGAGAGAGGAGGGGGCAGCGGGAGTAAGCCAGGAGTGAGTGATGCGGGGCGCTGTCTCTTCAAAACGAAGACCCGGCACCACAGGACGGCCGGGACGAATCCAGCGTCGAAGGAACAAGCCGAAACCATCCTCCTCCCACATGCTCCTGCTCATCCTCTTCTTCCTCCTAGACCTGCTGCAGACGAAAGAAGGGAGGGGGGAGGGGGGGCAGAGGAGGGATGCGGAGGGCGGGGGGCTCGTCGCCCATCTCATCCAGCTCGAGTGCGAGGTAGTTCGCCCCGAGGTCGGTCAGCTCCTTATTCGCCCTCCTCCTGCTCCTCCTCTTGCTCGTCTCTCTGCCCCGGCGGGCGGGACCAACTGGTCGAAACTCATGACCAGACTGCTCCTCCTCCTCCTCCTCCTCCTCCTCCTCCTCCTCCTCCTCCTCCTCCTCCCTGATTTCCTGACGGCATTGGTGTTCTCCTAACGCTGCCGCTTCCTCCTCCTCCTCCTCCTCCTCCTCCTCCGCCTCCGCCTCCGCCTCCGCCTCCGCCTCCTCCTCCGCCTCCGCCTCCGCCTCCTCCTCCTCCTCCTCCTCCTCCTCCTTCGCCCCTGGGCCCACTACCCGCGGAAGCTGGGGCAGTGAAACTGCGGTGCCTGGCCCGATGCGCTGCCGCGACGACCTGGACGAGCGCGGCAGGCCACCCTCCGCCCAGTATGCTGAAAATGTACGTTTTTCTACGCGAGCGGGCCGATTTTTGCCTCTTGAAGGCCTCTTGGGGCCCTCTTCGGCCATCTTGAAGCCATCTCGGGCCCTCTGAGGCCTCGCTGAGGCTGTCTTGTGGGCTTCTAGGGCGTCCTGGGAGCCCGGAAGTCATGTTCCCGGAGAGGCTTCGGGGAACATGATGTCGAACGAGGCCCGCTTCGGGCTCCTCGGGGGCGTCTGGGGCACTGTGAAGACGAAGCAAGCGAGTATGCTGAGAATGTACGTTTTACGACGGGAATGGGCCGATTTTGCCTCTTGAAGGCCCTCTTGGGGCCCTCTTCGGCCATCTTCAAGCCATCTCGGGCCCTCTTGGGCCTCGCTGAGGCTAGCATATGGGCCTCTTGGGTGCCCTCGGACCCTGGAAATCATGTTCCCGGAGAGGCTTCCGGGAACATGATTTCGAACGAGGCCCTCTTGGGCCTCCCTGAGGCCGTCTTGGGGGCCTCCTGGGCCGGCTTTGGGGCCTCTTGGGCCGTCTCGGGGGGTTCCGTGAGCCCCACAGGCCGACCTTTTGGGCCGTCTGGGGCCCTCTTGGGTCTCTCTTGGGCTGTGTTGGGGCTCCGCGGGGGCGTCTGGGGCACTGTGAAGACGAAGCCAGGGAGTATGCTGAAAATGTACGTTTTACGAAGGGGGATGGGCCGATTTTTGCCTCTTGAAGGCCCTCTTTGGGCCCTCGTCGGCCATCTCGGGCCCTCTTGGGGCGCTCTTGGGCGTCTTCGGGGCCTCTTGAGGCTTTCTTGACCATCCGTACTGCCCGCGTGGCCTGTCGTGGGCAATTTGGAAGCGGCCCGGGGCAGTCCCGGGGGGTCTGCGACCCCCCAAAGGTTCCAGGGGGCGCCCATGGGGGATGATGGCACCGGCCCAGGCCACCACCCCGGCCTACTCATATGTATGTATGTATGTATGTATGTATGTAAGTAAGTAAGTAAGTAAGTAAGTAAGTACGTACGTACGTACGTACGTACGTACGTAGGTAGGTAGGTAGGTAGGTAGGTAGGTAGGTAGGTGGGTAGGTAGGTAGGTAGGTATGTATGTATGTATGTATGTATGTATGTGTGTGTATGTATGTATGTATATATATATAATACATATCCCTCTCTCGCTTTCTCGCTCTGCCTCCTTCTCTCTGTCTGTCTCTCTCTCTCTCTCATCCGCCCAGCCAATGCCTCTCCCTCTTCCTCTACATACACCTCTCTGGCTCCCTCTCTCTCTCTCTCTCCATCTCCCGTCTCCCGCTCCCTCTTCCGCTCCCTCCCTCCCCACCGTCATCCCCTCAAGCCGCTTGGGCCCGAACTATTTTGGCGGGGCTCATTCTCCTGTGCTTTCGCGTAGCGCTTGAGGAACTCTGACCACACCCCCTGCCGTGGGAGAGTGTGGCATCGACCAAAGCAGGAGAGAACTTTCAGTCATGGCTGGCACCGTTGCTCGTCGCCCCTGGTCCCGCTGCAGCAAGTGCGGACAGTGCGAGTACAACGATGTGCTGGAGGAGCAGATGTGCCTCTGCATGAATTGCGAGTCCACCGTGAAGCTGTACAAGCCTCGTGGTCGTGCAGTGCGCTTTGCGGACACTGTGTCTGCGGATCAGGTGGTGAACGATTGGAAGGGGGACGCCTCGCTGGTGCATCCCAAGGGGATCCTCCGCTCGCGCAGCCAATCCCCTCAGCCCGGAGCGGGCCGAGGCAAGCGCGGGAAGGCGGGTGGCAAAGGCCGTGGCCCTGACCACGGCAAGGATGAAGTGTCGACGCTGCTCCGGCGAGCGGCTGATGCTGCCGACGGTGACCTGAAGGTTACGTTGCAGGCGCAGGTGAAGAAGCTCGACGACGCGGCGCTGCTGGCCAAGGCGTCGGAGCCCACCTCGGCAGCTGAGGCCCTCAGGAGGGCCGACGGCGTCTACCGAGATGCTGACCGCAAGCACAACCAGGCTGTGTCGAACCTGGTGCGCCTGCGCAAGGCGGTCGAAGCCGCGGAGAGCAAGGAGCGGGCCACTGCCACTGCTCTGGCGGAGGCTCTCTGCGCGCGGCGCGCTGCCGCGCGTGCCTTGGCCCATGCCGAGGGCGTGGAGGCCGAGGTGGCGGGCGCGAAGGAGCAGGACAAGAGCAACGGGAAGCTGTTCCAGGTGGTCTGGGACAAGAGTTTCTTCGACTCGCTCGAGAACCTGGAATGTGAAACTCATGAGAAGGCAGGCTTAGAGGAGATCCGTGCTCGGCTTCTTGCGACAGAGGCTGAGATGGACACCAAGGAGAGTGAGGCGCGGGCCTGGCTCACGCAGATGGAGGAGTTCAAGAAGTCCATCGAGGCGAAGCTGGCCAAGAAGCGCCGCACGGGTGCTGATGGCGAGCGCGTGGCTGGGGCCCCAGATGATGAGGCCGCCCCAGCCCAGGGCGCCGCGGCGGCCGCGAGCCCGCCTTCCGCTGACGACGCCTCCCGCTCCCAGACGCCCACCGCTGCTGGGGCGTCGACTGCTGCCACGACCGCTGCCCCAGAGAGCGGCGGCCGTTCGGCGCAGGAGCGGGAGGCCATCGAGGCGGAGGCCAAGCGGCTGTCGGAGGCCAAGCTGGCAGCGGAGTTCTTAGCGCAGAAGGGCAAGAGCGGCAAAGGCAAGGGGTCTACTGACGAGTCTTGACTAGGGTCTGCATCTACAGCAGGAGCTCGCTCTTCGGATGGCGAGCGCAACGGGGAGAATATTCACCTATTCTATTCTAATGTATCCTGCATGGGGGATAAGGCTTGGCCATTCGTCGAGCAGTCCGCTGCTCAGTTCGACCTGTTCGCTCTTATCGAGACGCACATCCATTCCGTTAGTGGGCTTCGCAAGTGGGATGCGAGGGCCAAGGAGAATGGCCATCGACTCATTGCCAATGCTGCTCGCCAGCGAGAGGGGTGCAAGAGTTCCACGGGCCAGGAGGAGCACGCAAATGAGGGAGGTGAGTTCCTGTTGTCCCGTCGGCATCTGCAAGTACATCGAGTTGCTGCTCTGAAGAATGCAGGCTCCCGTCTGCAGACGCCAGGGCACAAGTGCACGGACGGCTTTGCCGCGCAAGTTGTCCATTGCAAGGGTTATTCCATCGTGGTGGTGACCTTCTACGCGCATTCCAGCTTGGGCATGCGAGGTCTCAACATAGGCCGCGTTCGTCGGCTTGCTGGCTTTCTGTTCGCTTTACAGCTTCCTTGGGCAGTCATAGGCGACTGGAACATGGGCGTGCAGGAGCTTCAGAAGTCAGGTCTAGTGAAAAAACTTGGGGGTGTCATCGTTCAGGCAGACATTCAGTCGACGTGCAACTTAGCTGCTGGCACCCACATCGACTACCTCATGTGTAGTGAGTCGGCCCGCCCGTTTGTTGTCGATTTGCAGCCAGCTGTCTCGGTGCCCTGGGGACCTCGCACCGGGCTGCATCTTACTCTCAGGGGCAGTGGTGAGCAACTCATCACGCGGGTCATGGAAGCCCCTGGGAAGCTCCCTCAGGTCCCGAGGCCGACGACGGCCCCCACTGCGGGCTCAACATCTAGCATTGCTAAGGCGCGTAGGCAGATTCAACATCAGGCGGCTGTCGATAAGAGACTAGCCCAAAGTAATACCTTGTTTGGGGATTGTGCTCAATCCGTAGGAGATCAGCTGTTGGAAGGGCCTGGCGGGGGTGAAAGCGCCCCGACCTCAGCTGAGTCTAATACTGTAGTTTCTGATTTGCCTTGTGAAGAGAATGGTTTTACTCCGAGTGGCCGGAAGAAGAGGACCCCTGGGCCGATGAGCTCAGCTTTTGTCCTGACGCGTCTCTCGGGCATGCTCTGCACGCATCTGGCCACAGCACTGGTGGGGGTCCTCGTTGTGGGTCGTCGTCGTCGGTCGCCGCCGTTGGCCCTCAACCAGTGCTTGCACCCAACCTTGTGTCTCGCGAAGGTAGCCAGGGGGCCTCGGAGGCAGGTAGAGGTTGCTCGACTGTGGACTCGGGACCAGCTCGCAGCTCCACGGTTGGCCCGCCGCCGCACCGCGAGACCCTGGCTCCTTCTCGGGAGTTGGGTCCCGATAGCTCTGGAAGAGCTCAGTCTCAGGCTGAAGCTAGGCCTAGTTTCCGCATTCCCGAAGATACCTGGTCTCGGTGTCGGGAAGAAGTAGGATTTGTCTCGGGGTCTGCCCGTCTTCAGCCCCTTGCCCCTGCTTTGCGTGAGTCCGTAGCCTTTAGGCTCAAGCCTGATTTGATTGCTTCTGTATCGGGACTCTACTCTTCGTGGATCACGTCAGTTGAGAATACCATTACATGTCATCATGGCGTCCAGGTCCCCGCTGGACCGCGTCGGGCTGACGGAGTGCAGTTCTCTGCCCAGCCTATGCGAATGACGACCAAGACGCGAGTGACGCCAGTTCGTGACACGATCAGTTGCTGGTGGACGCAGTTGCGCACGCTACTGCACGGTATCCACCGCCATCGGCAGAAGCAGAACGGAGCCAGCCAGGTTCGGAAGTATATCCAGTCTTGTCGCCGTCACTTGGATGTTCGACCTGACCAGGTGCAGAGAGTTCTGTTGGAATCCAAAGATCGCCCCTGGGATGACTGGCTCCATTTCTTGCACAATATCGGTTCGGCGGATGATCGTGAGTTGGCATATTTTGAGCTTGCGGCAAAGAAGGTTAGCGCTCGCAGTCAACGACGGGCGACTCAGGAATCTTTGACGGAGTTCATGGACTTTGTGGAGGACAAGGAGTCGTTGGGGCGCCTGCATAAGTCTCTTAACCCACCCCCTCAGCCGGCTGACGAGATGGAGCACGAGGGAGTGACCCTCTATCACCCGAAGGACCTCATCGATGCTAAGGCTCGGCATTGGCATCGGCTCTGGGCTCCAACCACCTTGGTGGAGGATGAAGTCTTTGAGGCTTTCGCCGAGGTGCAAGCGGCGGCGGAGGACGACCCGCTGCCCAGCATCACGGTGGAGGAAATCCGACGAGCTCTTCGGAAGATGCGTCCAGGCACAGGCATGGGCGTGGACTTCGTCACGCCGCTCGACTTGGAGCGATTGTCTGACTGCGCGCTGGCGGAGCTCGCACTGATCTTCGAAGCGTGCGAGCAGTGCCTCTGCTGGCCTGCTCAGCTGCTGCTCATCTTGGGGAGGATGCTCCCCAAGAAATCTACAGGCGATCGGATTATTGGTCTGGTCCCCCTCCTCGGGCGCCTTTGGTCTCTCATCAGGGAACCTTTGGTGCGAGACTGGTCGGCCGAGACCGAGGAGGGGTGGGATGCAGCAGCAGCGGGCAATTCAAGCCTACGCGAGGCGTATCTTCGAGCTGTGCAGGAATAAGTATGTTGCAAACTTAAAGTGGAAGTTGGGCATGGGCTCTGCGATCTATTATCCTTCTATGATTCAATAGAACGGCCTTGTCTTGTCAAATGCGCCCTTCGGATGCAGCTCCCGCCCAAGATTTTATAGCTTGAATTGTTGCAATGTGTCTCGGCCAGGGTTTTGAGTCAACTTGGCGCCTCGTCGGCGCCCTTTCAGCCGACGAGGAGCATTGTGCAGGGCCTTCGGTCAGGAACGAGGTTTGGTCGAATCATGACGCACTTCGTCCTGCGCGGGGTGGTCATTGCTCATCCCCAGGCCAGTCACAGGATATGGATTGATGATCTCTCCCAACAAGTTCGCGGCCCCCGTGCAGCGGTGCGCACTCAGTTGCGAGATTGTATACTTGACACGTGATCCGCTCTTGCTCGCAACCAGCTGAAGGTATCACCGAAATCAGCGGTGGTGTGCACGCATCTGGCTGACGCGCGATGGGTTTGCAAGGCAGTGCTGAGGCGGGGTGGTGTTACGATCACTCCTCAAAGCCAAGCTGGCCTCTTGGGTGTCGATCTCTCTTGTGGCCGCCGGTTAGCTCGAGCTACGCGACGGAAGCGCGACCAGATGCACGCGCTGATGTCGGCCAAGATTGGGCGGCATGCGAAGGCAGCCAAGAGATATCGTGTGACATCACGGTTGGAAGTACAAGGAGCTCAAGCTGCAGGTAGTTATGGGTTTCAGATATATGGCACGTTTGGGCAGCGGCTTCAGCAGGCGCGGCGTCGGGCAGGATATGCTTGCGGGGCGGCCACTCGTGGCCGTTGCCTCACCTCGCTGCTCGAGTTGCGCATGTCTGGCCAAGACCCTGGCATCAAGTTTCCCAGTCAATGTGTTTTGATGTGGCTTGAGAATTGGCGTGGTCACCCTGACCTCCGCGCAGGCATTTGTCGGGTTTGGGCTGAGACTGCCAATGAGATGTTCGACGCACCAGCTGCTCATCGGTCGAAGAAGGTTCGGGGGCCCATGACTGCAGTGATGCTCCATCTGCTGGGGGCAGGGTGGCAAATCGGAGAGGCGACGTCGTGGACCATTCCCGAACCCCATCCAGCAGCAGGTGATGACTGGAGACTTGATGATGCCATGTTCACTGGACGGAAAACACTGGACAATTTTAAAGATTGCATGCGAGACTTCAGGGATGTGTTGACACTGCGTCAGTGGCGGAGTGCAGCTAATCATTATTGTGGGGCTGGTCTTGAGAATGGAGTGGATTGTGCTTCGTATCGCACGCTGCTCAAACAACTGGAGGAGACACCTCAATACGGCCATCGCCTCGCAGCTGTTATGACGATGGTTGCGGTTGGAGCGTCATGGCCACGCGATCGGAAGTATGTTGATATTCCCCAGTTCCAGGGCCCGAGGCTTTGTCAGCGCTGCAAGGGGGGTCCAGAGACCATGCTCCACCGTGGCTGGACGTGCCCCGCCAACGTCGGCAATGAAGCGTACAATCGGTCAGATGAGATGTTGGCGCAGGCATCGGCGCAGTCGGAAATGGATTCAGGATTCTGGTTGAGAGGAATGCTCCCACAGTCATGGACAGATGTGCCCCCACCAGCTGCGCTAGAATATTGGTCACTAGCAGGTACTAATGAGGTTTGTGATGTAGGATTTGTGGGAGAGGGTCCCCCCGAGGCTCCTTTTATTATTTTCGGGGATGCCTCTGGGGGCCCAGATACCGCTTCCCCGAAGTTCAGGCGGGTAGGGCTCGCGATAGTCCTCTTCGGCTCCTTGGAGCCCCAGGTCGACATCAGGGTCACCATCCACGGGCCTCTCGTAGGTTCGCGCCAGGCGGTCCCCAGGGGTGAACTCAGGGCCCTGGTGCTCGCGCGTTGGGCCACTAAGGGGGCTCTGCTGTATGTTTCAGACTGTGAGCCCGTAGTTAAAGGCTGGTACAGTAGGAGGTGGCTCTCTCCACAGGGGGAGGACGGGGATCTCTGGGCGTCATTAGGTCAGCTGTTTGAGCTCCAAGGACGCGATCCCAACCTCATTACTGTTCTCTTTGTGCATTCGCATCAGGAAGTGGAAGCTGTTGCTCACAATCAATCCAAGAAGTGGCTTATAACGGGAAACGCCGTTGCAGATGCTGTTGCTAGTGTGGCTGCTCACCAGGCCCGCCTGCCCGCGTCTATCAGGCACACAGTTCTGTTGCATGAGCGTCGTGCTTTTCTTGTGCGCATGCGTTTGCTGAGGGCGTCTCTCGACACGTTTGCTGCTGAAACTTTGGTCGTGGAGGAAAAACGGAAACCACACGAGAAACGGGTCCGACCCCCTTCTGCTGCTTCTTGCTCCCTCTTCTCCTCTTCGCACTGCTTAGATGAGTTTGGGAAGCGTTGCACTAGGTGTGGTGGATCAGCCTCCGTAGCCACCAAGACCGAGTTTTTGAAGAGCGATTGTTTTCAACCTCTGAATTCTGACGGGTCCCTCCTTTATAAACCCCCCGATGCAAAACTGCACATTGCGGGGGGTTGGGTAGACCAGAGTCATGATATGCAGTAATCCACAGTGTTGAAACTTTGGTATTGTAAGTCGTGCGGTTGTTACGCATCGTCCGTGCTGCGCGAATTAGGGAAGGGGTGCACAGGCAAGATCACCCCCACTCGGGCCGAGTACCTAAGTCGTATCTCCAGAGGCCTCTTTCCCAAGGTGTTGAGTGCAACAGAGAAGCGCACTCGCGGACGTGTGTAATATGCTGGTGCCTCAGTGTTTCACGTGGTAGGCACTCGGTTGACTCTGTCACATGGTCATTCTCATTCTCATTCCCCATCGTCATCCCCCGCCTCATACACCCTTCTCCGCTGCCGCCGTAGAGTGCTTGACTCGAGCCCCGACGGCGGCATGACATCCTATCCGCCCCGCTCCTCCTCGTCCTCCCATTCCTCCTCCTCCTCCGTGTTGCCGTATGACATTCCTCCACCACTAAGTATCCTCCTTTTCCTCCTGCCCAATGTCGGTTGGCTCCTTCTTGGCCTTGATGCAGAAGGGTCATTTGGAGAACGAGAACATCACGGCCGCGTTATTTGCCAGATAGGCGTCAACCTTCTTGCCCACGGCGGCCTCGTCGAAGTCGCCCGCCTCGCGGGGGAGGGGAGCGGGGGGCCGAGGTGGAGAAGGAGCTGCGGTGGCATGAGCAGGAAGAGAGACAACGAGATAGATGTAGAGGTAGAGCGAGAGTATGAGAGAGAGGGAGACGGAGAAACGGGAGCGGGAGAGGAAGAGGGAACACAACAACAACGGAATCTGACAAAACACTACTGGTCAGGAGAGCGGCCAGCAACAACACCAGGCGGGAAAAGACGGGGGAGAATCCACGAGGAGCAGCAGCGGCCGCGAGGGGATACGACAACACACGGGAGCGAGGAGGAAGTAGGAGGGGAGGCAGAGGGGCAGCAGGAGAGAGCGAGGGGAAGTGGAGGGGCGAGAAATCGAAAGGAAACAAACGAGAACGAGTCTACCACCTGCATCTTGGCGAACGCTATCTTCCCGTCGTTCAGGGGCGAATCCGACAGAAACTTTGCGAAGGCGCCGATTGCCTGGCCAATCGGCGAGTCCATGAACTCGAGCCTCTCCTGGATAACGAGCGGTATGGGAGGCACGAGGCGGCGCAGAGGGAGCAGCCCCAGGACGAGTTGCAACGGGACGAGGAGGACGACGAGCAGCATAAGCAGGATGAACATGTACTGAGGAGCGCGGAAGAGAAAGAGGACACTGACAAGGGTAGATGACGATCATGTGACTAAGGATGAAGAGTGAGGGCGACGAGGGGAGGAGGAGAGTGAGGAGGAGGAAGACGAGGAACAGCAGGAGGGGCCGCAGGGAAACGAGCAGGAGAAGAAGCGGGAGGAAGTGGGGGACGAGAGCAAGGACGAGACACAACAAATGCGCTCCGAAAGCTCATGGAAACGCCACGAGAGGAGGAGCGAGGGGATTGAGAAAGGGGGTAGCAGGAGAGGGAGCCGAATGCACCATGGGAAAGACGAGGAGGAGGGACACGGAGGACCCGCACGCGCAGGAGCACGGCGCTGCAACAACAGCACGGGCGGGGAAACCAGACGATATCGCTACTCGCCAGACCTCTTCCGGGGTGCGTTCTGACCGGGACTTCGAGGCGAATCCAGCGGTGGCGGCGAGGGCCTCTGAGGAGGCCCGAGGAGGGGAAAACGAGTGATGGGTACA